AAGCCTGGGCCTCAAAGAGTTCTCCCCAGGTAGCTTCCTGGCAAAGGCCCTTTAAGACCTTGGATCCCACTGCATCTGAAGCCAGAAAGCACCTGGCTTTCTGTTGTCTGCATGTTGGGCCTCAGTCTTTGGGTTTGTTTTCCCACCACCCATATTTCTGAGCAACCTATTGCAGGATGAAGGGTCTGGAGTGTCTCTGTGAGGCACCCCTCACGCCAGCACTGTGGGACGACCCTGTGAGCTGGGCGAAGGCCATGACCAAGGCATCGGGAGGTCTCGGGGAACTTGGGAAAGGGAAGGTTCCTTCATCCTCACAGGCAGGAAAGGATTGGTGAGGGAAGCCGTCCTGGGGCAAGGGTGCACCTCAGCACATGCACCCCAGGTATGGCAGGGTCCTCAGAGGCAAGTGCTCAGCGTGGTTTCTGGGAGGCCCATCTCAGACCCCGAAGCTGTGGCACACGCCCTCTTATCCAACCTGCTGGGCTCCAGATGTCAGGACCAGGAGCTTCCTGTGGTTTCATGGGACCAGCTCACCCTTTTCCCTCTGCCTTCAGGCCCCTCTGTTCAGGAATTTCTCCTCTCACCTCCTGGCCCAAGGAAAGGGGCAGAAGCAAAGTCCACGCAGGCCTGTTCCCTCCTGCCCACAGTTTGGAGTCAGTTAGACTTGGCTGCCGTAGTGCTGAGTGCCAGGCTCGTGCAGGGCACAGCCCCGAGCTTCCCCATGACACTGCACATACTTCTGGTTGAGGTTGCAGGATTTAAGACTGTGTGGGTAGAGAGGAGCTTTCTATGGGAGACATCGTGAAGTCTCTGTGACTCCAGAGAGGCCTGGCCCATTCCACTGCCATCCGCCTTTGCTCCCCTTAGCATCCTCAGGAGAAAAGCCAGCCTTGCAGCCTGGCGTTCAATAGTCCCTTCGTCATCTTCAGCACATTGGCCATCCTGAAGGGCTCCCTGCTCCCACCTTCGGGCTCTGACACGCTATTGCCTCTGCCTCAAGTACCAATAACAAACTTCTATTCATCCCTCAAAGCCCAGGTCAGAGATTCCCCTCTTCAGAAGTCTTCCCAGATCCTCTTACCCATGCCTTCTTTGTATCTTGTACACACCTTACACAAAGTTTGAACTCTTGGTAGCCATTGGTTTAGGACAAAACAAGAGGAAGAGGACTCTGTTTTATGGCAAGCTAGCTGCAGGCATAGCTGGAACAAGGGGTTAAACGGTGAGTGCTTCCACTTGCCCTGACTTCTTTGGTGGCTTCTCTCACAGGCACCCTAAACCCCTTAGAGGCGGCAGTCTTCATGGAGGAGAAGAACAGGCTATTGGGAACCAGGCATCCCAGGCTCACTGCCAGGTGCTGAGGCAGCTCGCCCACTTCGGGTCCCAAGGTCCCAATGAGGCCAGGCTGTGCAGGCTGTTTCTGCTCTCCCGTTCCGTCTACCCTTCTTGCCATGGCCCTTGGTTTTTATCAGTGTTGCATAAAGATGATCATAAAGAAGAAATGGGAACTCAAGGTGGAGTGCCTGTAGTTGGGAGGCAACTCAGGCTCATAGTTTTCACTACTTCTGAGAAATCAGGGTAAGATATTCTGACGCTTAAAGGGAGACAGCCATGCAGCCCCCATCCCTTGGCCATGTGAGCCCAGCCATCTCCCCCGGAGCCCTCAGCCCTGTGAGACACAGAGCAGAAGGCCTGGTCAGGCTCCACCCTGCCCCTTGTAGCCTGTACCTTGGGCACCTCGCTTCTGCGAGCCTCAGTTTCCTTATCTCTCACCTGGGAATAATGCCAATATCTACGTTTGGCAGAAAGCGAAGAAAGCTGTGAACTGATGAAAAATAAATTAGGTGGATGGTGCCTTTCCTTTTGGCAGAATTTCTCACGGGGTTTCTTGAAGTCTACTCTCTTTGCCACTTTCCCTGGTGGTACTCTCTTCTCGGGAGTTTCCACGGCAGCCCAGGTCTCTGGGTTGTAGTGCAGCTCAGTGGCAGTGTGTGCTTGGCATGTGAGCCCTGGGGCTCACCCTCATCTCTGCCACAAATAAAAAATAAAAAGAAGTCTCAGAGAGACTGGGCAGAGGTTGGGCCCCTCACCATGCTGGTCAGCGCCAGAGGGAGGGTTCCCACTTCCTGAGTCCCACCAAGCGTGAGTCCGCCCACAGCGGTACCAACACATGACCTCGCACCGGTGCCCCATGCCGGGAGAGAAGTACACTTGGGCGTGGCACCAGGGCGTCCTGTCGGGAGCATTTCTACACCAAATTTGGGGGAACATCATTTCATAGTTAAAGTGTGACTCTAGCTGTCTGAGGTTCCACGTCGCCTTGCCCGAGGGCCGGCTATGGCACGTGGAAACATAACTCTGGCTGCCTCTGGTCACAGCTGAGGACTCAATGGTCCCATGACACTGTGAACTCAATGGCAGGAGGGCATCAACTGAAGGCATTCTGGTTCTTTGAGAATTGAGGAATAAAATAAAAGAGAAAGGTTCACCTGCGGGGGACTGATTCCTCCTAACGCACTTTGACCCCCACCCCTAAGTCACCCCATACTCCCTCCAATTATTGTGTGCACCCCATAAGTAGTGGCTAGAGCAGAGTCCTTGTCTTTGCCCACTTTGAGGCACTGGTCTCCCAGTCCCCCATATACTCTGAAATTATGCAAGCCTCTATTGTCCTTTTTCTCTTTAGCTTGCGTCATCCCCCTATCTAGGTAGTCAGAGGATCGATCGCTCTCCGATATTGTCCCCAACATACTTTTATTTTCATCATTTTCATCCTGTTCCAGTAAAATCCAGCATCTTAGTGTTCCTTCCGAAATCCTTGGAAGTCTCTTTTCTCCCAGTTGCTGGATGGAAAGGCAAAGAGGCCTTATGCTCCAAGTTGTTCACTCTCCAAGAACAACTTTACAAGAGATGTTGGTTAGCTACTGCTGTGCAACAAACATGATCATCTCAATGGTTAAAACACCCCCCACACACACACACTGCTCATGAGACCATGGCTACATGTTGGCTGGGCAGCTCTGTGGTCACAAGTCTGAGGTCAGCTATAGGCAGAGCAGGTGGCTCTGCACATCTGACCAGGGTTCTCTCTCATGTTGGGGGTCAGGTGGCCACAAACTGGCCTGGGCCATGAGTCGGACTCCTGGGCTCACTGTCCACCAGCTGTGGGACCTGGTTTGTTCTCATGGCACATGGCCATTTCTGCCCTGCTCTACTGGCAACACCAGTCCCGTGGTCCTGGGGAAACAGGGTCCCTCTTACAATAAGATAGCTGGGAAGTGACCTGCAGAGGGACATGGGCCCTCAGAGCTCTGCCACCTCTCTTGTGCCCAGCTCATCTGCCTGTGCCTGGTGGAGGCCGGGCTTGTCTTGCCTCTGGTCAGAAGGGGGAGCCAGGAGGGGGAACGGAGGGAAGGCTGGGGTAGGGGCAGCCTTGGGTGCCCTCCTTGTCACCCACACTGAGGGCTGGGTGGATTTCCTCAGGCACCACGTGTTCTGGGCACCCAAGCTAAGCCCCCAGGACTTCATAGATCTAAGACAGTTCCATACATTGGCGCAAAACAGCATCACATTTTATCTACCATGCATGAGGTTTTCCTCACACAAGAGAGGAAGAGATGGCTGGCCGTTAATTAGGACGCCCTGACCACAGCAGAGCAGGAACAAGAACAAGCAGAAACCTCCTGGGACCCAGGCCTGGCCACCACAGCCCACCCCACTCCCATGCCCTGCAGACAGAGCTGCCTCATCCCTTCCATGAATGCAAGGGACCCACAGCCAGAATCAGGAAGGCAAGGATAGGCACAGCCACCTCCAGAGCTGCAGGGGAGGAAAAGGCAAAAGATCCCTTAGCCTGTCACCTCCTCCCAGTGACTCAGTGTACTCAGGCAGCTTCGGCAGAAGATGAGGACGTGGAGTGGTGGTTTATGTGCAGCAGGAATCTGTCTCTCAAGTCTCTGGAGGCTCCATGTCTGCTGAGGGCTGCTTCTGGCTCCCGGACAGCACCTTTGTACTTTCTCCCATGGCAGAAGGGACAGGGTTCTCTCTGGGCCTCTTTTATAAGGAGACTTGCCCCTTCCCGAGGTCCCACCTTCTCCAGAGTGCCCGTCTCCTGCCACATCACCTTGTGGGGTGAGGGTTTCAGTGCATGCATTCAGGGAGACACTCACAGCAGTGCCGGGTTTGGTTGTGTAAGCAGACAGGTTCTGTGCTGAGGCTGTGCAGGAGGAAGCTGATCTGTCACTGGAGCGCTGCACACACCAATGAGGCTCCTGAGTGCCTGAGAGTTGGGGTCTGATTTGCTTTTGCTTCCCCTTCTCCAAATCCCCAGGAAGACACTTTTTATTGGAGCAGCAGGAAACAGCAGCTCCAGCGTGCATTCACACCCATGAGCCTCACATGCACAAACACCCCACACCCAGCCTCCTGGGTTCTCCATGCAGTTGCACTGATGACCCTGCCAGAAAGGTGGCATCCTGCCCCATGCCGCGGCTGAGCACAGCTGGTCATGACGGGCTGGTTAATTCTCTGATAGCTGGTAGCTGTCACAGTGGCACAGCGGGCAAATCCCCGTGCTGCCCACGCTGAGCCCCACACCTGCGGGAGTGAACAGAAGCACAGAGCAGCAGATGCGTGCACCTGGGGGCTTCTGTATACATAACCCATGGAGGCAGTGTGGACAACCCATCAGCATGACACTCTATAGTCCGAAACTCCTGGGCTTCAGCCACCCTCCTGCCTCAGCCTTCCAAGTACCCAGCACACACATGGTTTTCAGCAGGAATTATCTCTTAAAACAGCTCTGGAAGATGTTAGAATTTATTACAGAGAAAAGAATTCATTACAGAAAAAAAAAATGGTAGGCTGTGGAGTCAGGGACACCTGGTTTTAGGGCCTAGCTTTATCCTTTAACAAGCTCTATGGGTCGGGGATTTAGCTCTGTGGTTCCAGCGCCTGCCTCGCAAGCACAAGGACCCAAGTTCAATCACACACACACACACACACACACACACACACACACACACACACACACACACACAACAACAACAAGCTCTGTGACCGTGGAGCAGCCACTCAGCCTCTTGGGGCCTCCTCTCTTGGAAATAGGGCTCTCAGAGGTGTCCACTCTCAGATGGTGGGGAAGGGGAGGCTCATGAGCCTTAAGTGGAAACAGGAGGAGCCTTCTGTCCCGAAGCACCTAAGTCTGGGCTGCAAGCTAGGCCACTCTGTGCTGATGTGCTGCTCAAGCTGTCCCGGATCTCTGCTTCCTACCCCAGCTGCAGTGTCCCCAAGTGCCTGGGCGTGGTCTCCTCTGCAGACTCGGTCCCTCCGCTTTCCAGCATCTTTGGGCTCAGAGGGAGAGGCACCATTCTGCTCAGGACTTGCTGGCTGCCAGCAAGAGAATGCAGAACTTGTTGGTTTCAGTGGTGAGAACATTCAGGGGAGTATCCCACTCCCAGAGCAGTTAGAAACCGGATCCAGTGGGTCACCTGTGCTGGAGAGTACTCTGTGTCTGTCTTCTCCACTGTCTTCAATTCAAGTGGACTCCGTTCTTGGACAGGCTTTTTCCTTATAAGCACAAGATGGCTACAGCAGCACTGTCTGTCCCAGATGCCTCAGCAAAACCCTGCAACAGACAGACTGAGTTCACACCTGGGTCAGGTAGGAACCCTGAGGCAGGGGTCTCATCTGGTCTGAGCAAGTGGGAGGCTGGGTCTTAGTCATCTTTTGTTGCTGTAAGATAACACCGTGGGAGGTACAAGGATCGCGTGCTTCATCCACGTCCCTGCCTCCTCTCCCAAAGACATGGATATCAGGATGTCATCTCGTCCTCATCACCTGCAGAAGCCCAGCACCACACCGTCAGCACCTGGACCCAGGGATACGGCTCCAGCGTGGTCCTGGGATCCATTCAAGCCATAGCACTGTCTATGTAGGTCAACTTGTCATTGCTGTGACAAAATGCTGAGGCCAACGACTTGAAAAGGAAGAAGCATTTATTTTGGCTCATGTTTCCCAAGATTTCAGTCTGTGGTTGGTTCAGTTGTGATGAGGTAAAACTTCAGGGGGGAGGGGGTTTGAGGAGCCAGGAGGTAGAGACAGACACAGAGGCAGAGAGAGATGGGCAGGTCCTGTTACAGTTGGTGTCTAGAGTCCTCTGAGCCTCCCACATTCACCATAGGGTATCTGGACGGTGATGGGGTCCTGGGATTGTGAATGACTTCCTCTTAGGAGCTGTGGTCACTGGAGTGTGATCCGGAAGGGTTTATCTCCTTCCTAGCTCCTCCTCCCTTGACTTCTGCTCCCAACCACCAAGCCCAGAGCAGCTTCTCCTCTGCCACATCTCTGTGCCATGCTGTCTGCCTCAGAGCCTACAGGCCCTGGACTGAAATCTCTACAAACCGAGTCCAAATAAACTTCTCCTCCTTTGAGCTGTAGGGTGTCGGGCAGTGTATCTCAGGGACAGGAAAATAACTAGGAGAAGTCCCAGCATCCTTTTCCAAGGCAGCCCCAGTGACCTGCTTCCTCCGGCTGGACCCCACCTCCCCTCAACTACACTATCTCCCAGGCAACATTAAGCTAGGAACCCAGGAATGGATTAATCCACTGAGGAAGCTGCATAGTCCAGACGCTTCCTCAGGCCCTGCCTCAGACACAGCTGCCCTGGGGACCAAGCCTTTAGCATCTGGGCTTTTGGAGGACATCCAGAGCCAGACCCTAACATCCCCAAACAAAAACAAGGGCTCACAAAGGAGAAGGGACACTGGAGATAACCACAGCCATCAAATCCAGGTGACCCTGTGTGGTAGCTGGGAGACTCTGGCCTGTGTCTTCTCCAGAGCTCACCAGGGACCAGTGTCCTTCCCTGCCCTCCGCCATCCCCCAGGTCAGCCCTGGGAGATGGTATTGGTGCCCGGCCTGGGTGGCGAGGCTCAGCTCCTGGGAAGGGCACTGGCAGCACAGGGCCACAACCTTGGGCTCCAGTAGAGGACAAGGGGGAATGGCACAAGATACACACTGCCTGCAGCCTGGTCTGCAGTCTGACTATGCGGAGTCCACACTCTCTCCTGGCCTCAGTGCTGGGGACAAGCCTGCCTCGGCCACCTACTGCAGAGATCTGCTTGCCCCTCTGATTCTTGGGTCACAGCCTCAATGTTCCCATCCTTGAGACTCTATCCTTGTGTCTGTATCAGGTCACCCACCCCTCAGACTCCTCCTCCACGGCTATGAAATGGGCCTAGGTGCTCCCTGGGAGTCTCTAGCTACTGTGGGGACCCCACGGCACAGGAGCTCATGTTTACGGGGCGCACACTGAATATGTGAACTTACAGATGCATGAGACAAAGCGGGAGGACAGCTGTGTCCGCATGTGCTGCCGTTCTGAGGGTGAACTCTCAGGGAGGAGAGCAGACTCAGGTGCCGACCTCAGAGCAGAAGACTTCCCTCCTCCTGCTCCCTCTTGTGAGCAGCACCGACCCCCAGCTCTCTCTATCTGCATCCATCAAGACCAGGCAGGAAATTAAAGTGGGCATCAGGGCATCTGCAATAAGCAGCTCAGGTCGGGACCATGCGTGTCAGCAGGAGGAACATGAGGCCCTTGCCTCCATCTCCAAAGAGAGGCTTGACCAAGATGCTACAGACGAGCGTCACGATTCCAGCTCCAGATATGGGAAGGTGGGACAGTGGGGAGAGGAGGGGAGGAGTGAGGACACAGGGCCTGTCCTCTGGGAGGGGTGGTGGCCCCCAAGGTCAGTAGCTCCCCGTAGCTGCAGGCGGGACCAGAGACCCCCAGCCTCAGTTTCCACATGAGTCAAAACATGCACATTGCTCTGACCTTTACAATTTCTCTCTTCCCACTGATTTGAGGGTTTCCTCCTCCTAGTTTATTGAAATACAACATTAACTGTCTCCAAGAGCTCTCTTTATGTTTTAGGTAGGCATTTGTTCCCCAAAAGCCTCACGGCTGGGTGATAAGGCTCAGTCCAGGAAGTGACATGAGCTGAGCATAGTATTGTGGCCACTGCACACTGAGCCACACTGAGGTCACCCTGGGGTGGAAACCCTGTCTCTCTCTAACTGGCATCCTTCGGCAGAGACACAGAGCTGAGCTCATGCCCCCAGCCCAGGAAGGAGATTGGAGGAGCCTGAGGAAGCCCAGATTCAGGGCCCTTGGGACACCTGGCTCTTGGGCTCTGGCCAGAAGTGTGAAACTGGTCACCTCTGCTGATTACACCACCCACTCTGGAGCATTAGGTTTGGGCATCCTGCTGTTTCTCTCCTTCCCCAACTGTGTGGGTTCGAGTGGCACCTTCAAGAGCTGGGCATGGTGGTGCCTGCCCGTAACCAAGTAAGACTTCACTCCAGCAAGGCCAGGTCCCTCATGAGACTCTGCTCTACTGGAGCCACGCTTTGGGTTTGGAAGTTTGGAGAACTGTCCCATGTGTCCTCTCCCCAGGCCAGCACCTTATGGTAGGGTGGCTACATGCCTTTCCAGCCTTCCCTGTCTATGCAGGGGCTGCTGGATCCTCAGCACTGCTATTCTCCAGCTGTGGCCTGTGGTGCGTGGGTAGGGAAAGCCGCACTCCCTACCCTGACTCCAGCTCTGCAAACTCAGCAGAGCCTTGACCACTCTGGCCTGCTCACAACTCCTGGCCTTCATTTGCTGGGTTGCCTCTGCTCACAGTGATCTAAGGACCGGTTCCTACTGCAGCGATATTCTGGGGCAGCTGAATATCCAGTGGAGCTGAAGGGATACATGGGTATGCAAAGCTAATACACTTACAGAGGAGGGAGGCAGGTAGTGCGAGCTGTGTGACCTTGGCCAAGTCACTTAGTCTCTCTGTTTTCCTGTTTCTTTCTCTACAAAATGGGAAGAATAAGAACACCTGCCCTGGAGTTGCTGGGGAAATTCTATAAGACCATGGCGGCAGCAGATTCCATGCCTGACGCTAGTAAGTCAGCTTCCTGCCATCCAGGGCTGTGTCTTGCTATTTATGCCTTGTCCTGTGCCCTGCTTAGAACCTCATTTTCTTAGATGCAGCCTAATCTTTCTTTCACACATTGGGCTCAGCTCATTCATCCCCCGCTGAGTGATTTACTGTGGCAGACTGCGGTGCCAGAGATAGAACAAAGGTTAAGAGGCTGTGGGCTGGTGCCTGGGGAGACACATATTTAGTTAGGGGGAACAGGATGTGCAGGAAAATGGCTCTTGCAAGCTCAAAGGCACTAGGACCACCTCAGCTGGATGAACACTTCTTCACAATAGCTGTGGCTGGAGTCCAGCATCCAGGGGCAATCTGTCCTTAGGAGCCTTCCAGTTGAGAAATCACCGCAGGGTGTGAAAAAGGGGGGAGCCACCTCTCTACTCCTTTATTCAAAGCACCTAGGAGTTTGGTGGGCAATAAACATCCCCTAAGACCAGGGAAGAGGAGGATAATCCACCCCACCTGCAGCCTTGCTTCCAGGCCACCCAGCAGGGATGAGGACAAACTGGCGCTCAAAACACTGCAAAATATGTGACGCATAGCAGACTATTGTCACACATGCACCTTCTGCCTCGAAGGCTGGTGCCACTGAGCAGAGCTTGGTCTCCTATGAGCACCATGCACAGCACCACAGCTCACAAACCACATCCATTCTTGGCTTCAGGCTCCCTGCATGTCCAGTACGATGAGAAGATCCAGCCTCAGGGCAACAAAGGGGGCATCTGGGCCTGAGCCTGGTCCCAATGTAGGAAGCTCTGGGCTCTCTTCACCAGGCTAAGGTCCTCATCCTGCCCTTCCTTTAAGAGCAAGCACAGGTCTGTGTGCAGCACTGGCCGAGACCTGGTTCTAAGACACCACCCTAGAGGAACATGTGGCCTGGGCAGGGGAAGACTGAGCTCCAGCCTCAGTCTGGCACCTGGCAGAGGAAGGCAGTGTCAGAGGACAGCATGAGGAAATAGGATTCGGGAAAGCTGCGGGTAAGCTTGGAGCGACCTGGTCAATGTGCTTTCCAGACCTGCTGTGTGTTACGGGGATGAAGGAGGTCCACTGACCCGCTCCTGGTAAACCCCCTGCCTGAGGAGAGGCGGCCAGTCAGCTGGGTGCTGCTAGGGAGAGACTATCCTAGAAGGGTGTGCAGTTAAGATGGAGATGACAACTAAGGAGCCCAGCTGGAATCAGACAGAGGTCTCCTGAGCCAGCACAAATAATTAAGCTTCTTTTCTTTCTTGCTGCCCAGGATCACAGCGCTAACTCTCCTCGCAGCTGGCAGCCAGCTGAGCCAGGGAACCCAAGACCATGGTTTCCAAGTGGTCTGCTTTCTCTGCCTGCCCTCTCCCTTCCTCTCTGTCCTCCCATTTGCAGATGAAGCGCCCCTCTCTACATGGAAACAGCGTGCAAATAGTAGACTCTGCATCTCTGCAATTCTCTGACCCTAGGATCCATAGCCCGCTCACTGGAAATGACCTGTGGGCCTCTTGGGCCCCCTTTTCCTACTCTGGAATAATACCTCCACCTCTGGGATTCTTGTAAGGATTAAATAAAATAATCCGTGTAAAAAGTTACACACATGCCTGATGTAGTAAAATAGCATTGCTGCAATCACTGTCATTTGTATCGGTTTCCTCTTGCTGCTATAACAAATTACCACAAAATAGGTGGGCATGGTGGTGCACACCTGCAATCCCAGCACTTGAGAGGCTGAGGCAGGAAGACTGCCTTGAGTTTGAGGCCAGCTTGGGCTTATACCGAGCTGTACTACAAAATGAGATCCTGTCTCAAACAAAAGAAAAAAAATGTTTTTAAAATTTACCACAAATTTAAGGGCTCAAAACAAAATTCATTCTCCTAAAGGAGCTGAACATTATCTGTGAGCGATGCTGAATTCCTCTTGGAGGCTCTAAAGGATAGTCATCTGTCGGCCCCACAGCCCCAACTGCACCCTCCCTCTTCAAAAGTGCTAAGGAGCACCAAGGCCAGAGATTAGGGCCTGGCAAAGTGGCCGAGAAAGTGGTTGTGGCCTGTCAATCATGACCATCAAGGCTGCAAGCCCAGAACACAGTTCCCAAGCTCTGCACCTGGGACCAATCAGAAAGCGCTATCCTAAATTCTACTGGCACAAAAATCAAGCAGGTTTTTGATAGAATGGCCTAGATATGACATCAGCCTGAAGAATAAAAGATACAAAAGACTTTCACCATTACTTCATGGCTACTGTGAACTCTCAGTAACCCACTCTCACTCTGCAGAGTGTATTCGAACCTTTAATAAATGTAAAACTTGTTACCCTTTTCATGCATCTTGTCCAGTTCTTTGTTCAGGACACCAAGGACTTGGAAAGAGTCTAGAGAAACCCAGAACTCTGTAACAGCACCTTTTGATCTCTGTGAAGACCCTGTGATGACATTGGGCCGTCTGAATAATGCAAACTAATACCCTCAACTCGGTATCTTTAATACCTCTGCACATACCTTATTTCTACCGATTCTGGGAATTAGAATGTAGACACCCTAGGGATTTATGTCCCATATCCATTAATATTTTTATAGACTAGTTAATTTAATTCTCAATAAGACCCTTGGAAATAAATACGATATTATTTCCATTTGGAAACTGAGGCACAGAGAGGTTAAGAAACTCATTCAAGCTTACCCGGCTAGTAAGTAGGGAAGCACTCATTCCAACCCAGGAAGCTGTCTTCTTCAGTGCATGTTCCTAGGAGCCTAAAGAGGTGACATGACCCAGAATAAGCATTATATGTTAACCACTAAGGTTAACATAACAATTCTTACCTCACATGAGGTAAGAATTTTTTTTTTTTTTTGTACGAGGGATCCAACTCGGGTCCTTATGCTTGAGAGGCAGGCGGCAACCTGAGCTAAATCCCTGGCCCTCACATGACTTTTTGAGAATTTACTAACTGGTATGTGAAAAGCAACAGTGCCCGGCATAGGCCTTCAACCCGTACTTCTATTTTCTCCTGTTCTACTAATTCACTTTTGTCTTCACTGTGAAGACCCGGGAGTGTACCTCACCCTCCCCAAGATGGCGCCACCATCCATCCTCCCCACTGCAGGCGGCGCTTGTGGCAAGGAAAGCTAGAGTCTGACCTTCTAAAGATGGCTCTCACGCTACTCCCTGCCCCTTTCAAAATGACCTCACCCTTTGGCTTCACCCCGTCACTTCTGACCTTCTCAAGATGGCGGTAAATATAATGCGCACACTGACACTCCCAAGATGGCGCTGAGGCCGTAAACTCACGGAAGCTCAGCGTCGGTGTCAAAGGTACTTCCGGGTGCGCCACCGGCTGCTTTAGGAATCCTGCGTTGGAGACAGGCGGCGGAGGCACCTTTGTTGAGAACATGGACCGGAGAAAAAAGCCTTTGGACGTCACTGCATCCTCGGTGAGTGCTCCGGGTTTCCGGGCCTTGGCCCGTGCGTCGACGCGTAGACTTTGTTGCCCCGCGGCCCCGGAGCGCGAGTGTGGCCCCGTCCCGGCGTGAGCCTGCGGTCTGGGTGTCGCCAGGGACCCTTCCGGGACAGGGCCGCGAGGGCCAGGACAACGTCCAGGTGTCGGGGTCTCCGCCCACTCCTCCTCAAGCGCCGACAGGGCCGGGAGCCGAGCTGACAGGCAGGGCGGTGATACTGACCTGTCCCAGCCGGGCTGCACAGTGAGGGCGGCAGGAACGCGGCCTGGGCTTGGACGGATTCGAGCTCCCTTTCCAAAATTCAGGTGAAGCCTTAGGCTAGGGAATGTGTGGCCAGAAAGTCGATGCAGGCTCGGGAAAAAGGTGGAAGTGTTTCAGAATCTATTGTTGTTATTATTTGTGAACCGTTATATAGCTTCAGGCTGTCCTTGGACTCAGTTGGAGCCCAAGTTGGCCTTAAACTCGCAGCGATCCTCCTGCCTCAGCCTCCTGACTGCTGGAGCCACCTTGCCTGGTTGTTTTGAAGAATTTAGAATATTAGATCCTAGAATGAAACTGACCTTTAAAATCCCGCATTGCTTTTAAATTGATCTCTTCCAGAAAAGAAGTCATCAAACTCATTTTTATTTTCCTTAGCTGTCTATTAGTGATAAATGCCTGATTTACAGGTGCAGGGCCATGTAAGCTGTTGTGTCGAGGGAGGAAGGGAGCATTCTCCCAGTTTCTGGTTCTCTGCCTGTCCTCCCTTCCCATTCTAAACCCTGACAGTCAGCTCAGATTAGAGTTTCTATGACAGAGTAGATCAAACTTAAAGATGTACTCAGATTACTTCATTTCCAGCTGTTGAATCTTATGTAGCTTTTGAGGCTCAGCTTTAGAACTTTGACTGATTGCCTGAACAGAAGGGAGCTTTGTATATGAACTTTCCTCCTTTATTCCACTCAAATGTCTGTGTGCGCGCGTGCATGTATGTGTGTGTGTGTGTGTGTGTGTGTTTTTTGTGTGTGTGTGTGTGTGTGTGCATATGTCGTACTGGAGATTGAACCCATGGCTTTTGTACTGAGCTACATCCCTAGCCATTTGTTTGTTTTTCTTCTGAAACAGACTTTTGCTAAGTTGTCCAGTTAACCTGACTGAGCTCAAACTTGAAGTCTTTCTGCCTCAGTCTCCCAGAGAGCTGGGATGACAAGTGTGAGCCACTACACCTCACTTCTAAGTCATTTTTAAATATTTCTTTACTACATCTTACTGGTATTATAAATTACCTTTCTTGCCAGTTGAGGCTCTTGAAGCAGGGGAGTCTGGTTGGCATTTGTCTCCTGCTCTTCACTTTCATGCCAGGTGCTCAAACAGGGGCTGAAGGAAACCTTTCCTGATGTTGCAGCGATGAGGGACATGGGTTAGTGCCACTCAGAAAGAAGGAGGTGCTGCGGGGTGTTGGGTGAACCTGGGTGGGAAAGATGCAGATGACATTTATTTCCTTTGCTCTGTTGCCCTCTCCAGTCTCTTGAGTAGATAGATGCCTGTGCAACAACAGAGTAGAGTGAAATGTTGCTTCGTTTAATTTTGTCTGAGTTTCTACAACTACACATTGACCTTTGTGTCCATTTAGAGCAAGTTGAAATTTCGCTTTGGGAATTGCAGTTATTTAGTAATCCATCAATGACTAGACTGAATAAAATATTTGTTTTCCTTTTCTGGTTTTATTCTAGTTAGTAGATCTTAAGGCTGAACTCTTCCGAAAACAAGAAGAATTCAAACAAGAAAAACTTCTAAAAGATTCTGGAGTTTTTGGAAAACCAAAGACAACTAATAAGGTAAAAATATGATCTCATTGTCCCCATCACGCCGGAAAAATCTGCCCCACATAGGCTTTGAATGCGTCAGTGGTGTCTACATGTGAGTGTTAAGGAAAAAAAATCCCTGTCTAGTATTTGGGTGTCCGCATAAAATGTGTTAAATATTAAAGTAGGAATGAGTACAATTATTTAAAAGCTTACCATGAATCTCTTTTGCACTCTTTTTGGAAAAAGACATTGGAAGATTACTGTGGTTTTCTCATTTTATAAGTAACGGTCTCTAGTATCTGTATTACTTATTCTTCGCAATGGTACACTTCCGTTAGAGTCTTGAGTTAGGTTGTGATCATTTAGGAGGTTCCTTAAGTCTGTGCAGTGGTCTAGAGAAGCTCACATACCATAGTTTACAGTTTAGGGCTTCTCTGCTCCAGCACCCCGGTGGGCAGTGAGTGTGTGCAGGACGCAGTTAGCTGTTGAAGAGGAAGTTGTCCCACTGGTCCTGAGATCTAACAATCTCCTCCTCCTCCTGATGTACAGTAGAGATTATCTTGTAGTCACATGGTCTTTCTCTCGTCTTTTTGAATTGTTCTCCAGAAACCGAGTATCTGGAGCAAGCAAAATGCAGGAGTTTCAAATCGAGCTGAGAAGGATGCAGAGCAGAAGATTGAAGAGCAGAAGACGTTAGACAAAGCAAGGTATGGCTGAGTTTGGAAAAGTGTGGTTCTCTCTGAGACCACCCAAACCAAGGTGTGAACATTCAGATTTTACTCGTTTTGGTTTACAAATGTGATGTCCAGCACCTATCCAGCCAAGCATTTTTAAAACATAAACACAATTACCCTGAAGTCTGAGGGGCACTGGTTCCGAGACCCTCTACAGAGAACAAAACCAGGGGTGCTCACATTCCTAATGTAGCAGAGTGTAGCATTTGCACACAACCCACATGGTCTTCCAGGAGCTTTGAATTCTCTCTAGACAATTGGTGTTAATATTGTGCGAGAGTTATATAAACATGAAGGAATAATGACAAGGAAAAGTCTGTGCATTTTTGCTACCAATACAACCATTGTAAGCCTAACTGAAGAGGACACAGCAGCAGCTCCGAGCATTCTTCCAGGTGTGTTTGATTCCCAGTGAGGGATGTGGGAGGTGAACTCCATGGCTATGGAGGCGAACTGTCCTCTGCCACAATATAATTCACAAGTCAGCCATTGTCTCCTGAAGAAAGAGCGAAGATGATGCCGAGTCCTGCTTTGAGCTTTCATTAGTCTTTAGTGCTATCAGTGAGGTGTCTGTTTTCGGCAGTCACAGGGGTGAGAGCTGAGGCTCTGGCATGTGCTCCGCAACCCCAGTGACGCACCTCGGAGTTGTATTCCACGGTGCGCTTCTGGTCTGGGGTTGGGACTTTAGCACTTAGAGACCTAAACTTTTCCCCAAACCAACAGAATAAGTGAAAAAAACGCGAGGGTTCCTATACCTCTCACTAAATTTACCCGTTAGTATCTTTCACACTAACTTTCCGTTTCTCCTTTCTCTTTTTCCTCCTCCGTTTCCCTTTCTCCCTTCTCCCTCTCCTTCTCCCCTTCTCTTCCTTCTTCCTTTCCTCCCTATCTCTGTCTGTCTGTCTGTCTTTTTTTAATAGCAAAACATTTATTGGCACCTTGTAAGCATGCATAATGATAGCACTCATCATAGGGAATTTGTACCTGTGCATGATAGATCCTGCCTCTTTTTGCCCATTCCCTCCCTCCTCTCAAATTCCCTCCCCACCTACATGCAAAAAGCTTTGTTTCTGTTTTTTCTTCTATTTTTTCCTTTTATTCTTGTCCCTTCCTTCCTTTCTCCCCCCTTCTTCCCTTGTTCCCCTTCCCATTTGAACATATTCTTCTCATTTCCCAGTATCTGTTATACATTTTAGTCCTTATTTCTACTTTTGGTTTCTCACACCAGAGACACAATGCAGTATTTAAACATGTGTCCTCTCTCTCTGTCCTGCACACTCATATTTTTAAGTTCAGGATATTTTGCTGCTGACCATTTCAGCATGTATTTTGGAACAACACGGCGGTTATCTTATGCGATCACAGTGCTGCTCTCATATCCAAGAAAATTAACACTGATGAATTAGTATTATCTTCTCTGCGGTCCGCGGTTCAGGTTTTGCCAATTGACCCAGTATAGTTGTGTCCTGTGTAATGTTTTTCAATTCAGGATTCAGAGACTCCATGCTTTGTTTAGTTGTCTGAGCTCTCAGTCCCCTATAGTGTAGAACAGTTCTCACCTTCTTGTGCTTTGCTCTGCTTTTGGCATTTTGGAGCAACCCAGGCCCATTGTTCTGAACAGAGCAGGGTCACAGGAAGTTTCTGAAGTTACTGTGTGGTTGTGTTCTTGCCGTGGAGCCCGGCCGGAGGGCCTGAGGTCAGTGTGGTTGGAGATGGTTGGGCTCACATGATCAGGGGCCTGCTGAGTGGGCCCGATGAAGGTCTCCCCGCTGTGGTCAGCAGTGCACACTGGGGAGGTGTGAGGGTCCCTGTGTTGTGACGTCAGTGCTTCGGGGTGATGATGTTTTGATTCTGTCATCTGCCTGGGTTGTGGCTCACCTCTTGCTACTGGCACTCTTCTGTGAAGAAGAGGGAGTGTCCCCCTTTTCTGTCCCTGTGGCCGTCATGTTTTGGATATACTATGTGATAAAAGCTGCCCTTGCACATTGTGGGTGCTAAGGTTGCTCAGTACTTTTGGAGCGATGTAGGTGAGCTATGGCAGGGTCCTCACAAGGAGAGGAGGAGGAGGGGACAGGGCCACGTGTGTCTGACTGGTCTCACCACAGCTCTTATGGGCAGGACTGCTCTGTTTCTCCTTCTCTCTATGGTGACCTGGACACAGAAAGCTTAAGTAGCTTGTCACAGCCAGGGTACTCAGGGACTTGTCAGCCTCGGGATGCCATTAGGTATAGTAATGCCGGCCTGTAATCCACCCATGAGGCTGAAGACGGAGGATTGCAAGACTGAGCCCAACCTGGGCAACTTAGTAACTTAGTGAGACCCTGTCTCAAAATTTAAAAAAGATGGACTGGGGATGCAGCTCAATGTGAAGGCCCTGGACTCCAAAAAAGAAATGAAGGAAGAAAGGAAAGGGACAGAAAGGAATAAAAAGAAAGGAAGGCAGGAATTGGCCCTCTGAGTGCGTGTGGCATTCCCAAGAGCCCGGTGAGGTATTTGGGGGTATCGCTCCTGTCATTTCTGCAGTGAAGCATCGCTGGCCCTCTAACCCAGCCTGTGCCTGCTGAAAAAAAAGTCACCAGAGTTAATAGCAGAGACCATTTTATTGAAATGCCAGAGTCATTTTTTTGTTTTTTCAGCATCATATGCTGAACATATTATCTCTGCTCTCCTTAAAATAGACATCATTGTATATGTAAAACACAAGTAAGAAGTTGATTTCTAAGTCCCTGAGTGAAGCCTAATAAGCCACAGGCAACTGGTGTTTGAAAACAGTGATGCCAAGGTCTGCCTGGAATTTGGTGATCCTTTTCAGAGGTTGCTGTGGTGGTGTTTGTGTTTACAGACATCTCTGGTGGGTAACTGCATTGCGTTTAGCCGTTGAAGTGAGTGGCTAGAATTGTAACTTGGTCAGATACTCACCCAGCTGCTGCTGTGTCCCAGGTGTGGCCTCCAGCCGGACCCAGTGATGTGCCAGAGGACTCAGCACCACCCTCACCTGCCTCCTCAGTTCTTCATCAGGCTGGGCGGCATCTGTGGTGGCCTCCTCACCAGGAGCGATAGCTGTAAGACCAGTTCTAATACCTGTCTCTTTCTCTCTTAGGGAAAAATTGGAAGAAAAGGCCAAATTATATGAAAAAATGACTAAAGGTGACTTTATAGGTAAATACAATTTATACTTCTTTATCTTCTGTAATTCAAATAGATCTTTAACATCATATCATGAAGATATGATATCATGTCTATTTTAAGCAATTTAAAAGATCCGATCAAAATCTTCCCATGGCTGCACAGACAGAAGGAACTTTAGTCACTGACTGATCGTGCCAGGGCCTGGGCAGGGGCAGTATGGAGGAAGGGGATAGACGTTGGACAAGTCATTGTCAGCATCTCTCCTGTCACCTGAGTAGGACTGCAGATCTTGCTGTGTGCACACGACGTGCCTGTCTACACAGGGCCACTGTCACAGCTGTGTGTAAGGGGAAATGGGGTTGACCAGAATGCCAGCATTAGCTTCCCTTTTCCTGTCTTCTCTGTTTCCAGTTTTGTTTCTGTGATGGGCTTGTAATTGCTTTCCAGTTGTGCTGCTGACTCCTCAGACACCCCAGAAAAAAACCGTGCTCACAGTGAGATAATGAGAGGCAGAGGCCGCGTGTGTTCTGCTGCCAGAGAGGGGAAGGAGGGCTGTGGTCAGGAAATCTTCTGGGAACCCCGGGGGACTCTGCCGAGGGTCCTGAAGCTGTGGGAACTGAAAGGAAAGACCCTGCCAGGAGAGTGGGGAGCCCCGCAGGGCTGCCAGGCTTCCAGGTGGGGGGCCGGCAGATGGAGCTGGAGCTGAGGACGGTTCTGTGCCTTCCTGCTCCACAGTACCTGGAGCTCCTCTTCTCTGTCTTCCCCCGGAGGCCTTTTGTGGCAGAGTTCTCTCTCTGATTCAGAATCTACTTGCACTGTTGACCCAGAAGCCAGGTGCAGAGGAGTGTGGGCCCACGGGCCACCCACTGATGGACACAAACCTGCATGTTGTGCAGATCAGGTCTTGGCGCCTCAAGTATCACCTCTGTGAGTGACACTGCCACCTGGTCATGGGATCCTCACAGCTGTTCCTGATTGCTTAGTTGCTATCCTCAAAGAGGGATCCAGCATGAATCCAGCTCAGAACCTCACCCACATTGCCTTACTCAGGTGGCTGTCCTGGGCTGCTGTGTTCCGCTCCTATGGGTTTCAGCTCCTGGGGGATCAGCGCCCTGGGCAGACGGCAGCTCACATAGCCCTGTGCTGTGTGGCATGGCTCCGGGCCATGTTGGGAGGTGAGGTCCCTTGGCTTGAAAAGAACCTGGCAACTTCTCTCTGTGCTGCAGCAACACAAGCCCCTCTGTAGAAAGGCGAGTCACACCATAGGGAAGGGCCGCTGTCCTCCTCTGGTGACGGGAGAGCCATTGTCCTGTTTATGCCTGCAGCATGGCATTAGCTGTGTGTGGCAGTGTTGTCAACAGTGCTCAGGTGGCCCTGCTCACACAGACCCTGGCCTGATGAGGTTTGAGGAGGTTTTCTCACTGGTCTGTGTTTCTTATATCCCCAGCTTCCCTTTGAGCTGTTCCGCTGTGTTCCCCTGTGGTTTTCTGCTGTGCACTGAGGTCGATTTTTGTGTCCTAGATGAAGAAGTGGAGGATATGTACCTCGTGGACTTCACCCAGAAGATCATAGACAAACGTAGAGAAATGGAGGCACTGGGCACCAGTAGAGAGCCCCGAAAGGTGGACGACAGGGACGAGGATGACGATGTTCCTGATGGAGATGTGCCCCCTCCCCAAAACCCCGGCGAAGAGTGGTGGGTACACTTGGGTGGCCCGGTTAGTGATCCTGTTTGGCTATCACCATTCTGTTTCTCCTTGTACCCCTGTACTTCCTGTCTGTTGAGAGGCCTCGAGGTTAGGTTGGGCTGGTCACTGCTGGTGTAGAATAGTAGCCCCAATGAAGAGATAGCCATGCTAATGAGAGATGCCCAAGCCTGCTCTTTGCTGGGCACTGGGTGATGATGTCCTGCCCATTGAGGCAGAAGCCTGATGCTCTGTGGCCCATGCTTTGGCCTCGCCTGTGGCCTGGCACAGGTCTCATGGAGATTCTCTCTGTTTCCAGCAAAAGGAGTGCAGGGTGGGGTTGAACCCCTCCTATGGCTGATCCTCTTTCCAGCAGTGACGCACCGAGTCGTGGGCCTCGGGCAGCCCCAATGCCATCCTCTGCTGCCTGTGTGATCTCCGGCAAGCTTCCAGTCTCTCTGAGGCTGGTTTCCTTCCCTGTAGAGCTGATGATACCCAGGTCCCTAGGTTCTTTGCCTCAGTCTCCCCGAGGACATAAAGTGGGCTGGGCTTTGTTTATCTTTGTCGCTGAAGTCTGGCTGCATTCTGCCCTTGTGAGTGAAGGGTAAGGAACCATGCCAGCCTTTCCACACAGACATGAGACCTGTAACTATGTGCTGACATCTCTCCTGGTGACAGTGTCTCTCCGACTTGTGCAGTGGAGCTTGAGGCCCTGAGAGAGGCACTCCTGGGCCTCACCCTGCCCACCGCCCTTCAGGGTTCTGTTGTCCCGTGGTGGGCAGTGCTGCAGTTCTTGGTGCTCCTGGGGATGTCCTCATCAGTCCAGCAGCACCTTGTCCTTGGGATAAGGCAGGCGTCTTCTTTCTGCTTTTAGAAGCTTCTGAGTGGTCAAGGTCTATTTAGGTGGGTGTCTGGCTGTGTGCTGTAAAGACCAAAGGCAAGAGCACCAGTCTTCAGCCTGCGCCTTCACTCATCAATGAACTTGGGACCATTCAACACGCTTCCTGCTTCCTGGTCCTACCTCATACTTCTCATTGGCACAGGTTAGGGCCCATGGCCAGGAACTGACTGAGCCAGGCTTTGGTGGCCTGCCCTGCGTTAGTGTCCCTAGAAGCACCTTGGCTTCCTGAGTGGTGGAGGTGGCGGGACTCTGGCCATCCCAGGCCTGTCCCTTTGGGGAGGAGCGGGGTGGCGCCAGCTCGGTCTCCTGTCTGTTTAGCTGGGATCTGTGTGTTTGGGAGGCCAACTCCAGAAGCGGCAGGGCCTGCTATTGCTTTTCACAGTGACTCTAATCCCTTTTCAGAGGATCCATGTCTCTTCTTAAATTGTTGCTTATTAATGTCTGTATGATCACAAGCAATGTGCCAGCAATGTGAGGAGTTTGGGGGCAGCTGAAGGTGTCACTACCACCATATGGTGAAGGAAGACAGATTACAAGCAATTTTGACACTTTCTTATTTTTAAATTAAGCTCCAAAATTGTAACTGCTTGTAAAATCCTTTCAGTAGTTTGATCCCAGGTGGTGGAAAATCTTCCAACAAAAATAGTATAAATAATTATGCAGACCATCTGGCTTGATGGTTTTGTCCCCATTCATTTTAAAGCAAGAAAGAAACTGTTTTCTTCAGTTAGAAGTTTTATTTCTTGTGGTAGATAATCAGCCATAGGACTATAGTAGTAGATTCCCAGATGTTCAATGTTTAAATCATGGGCCAGCAGTTGGAATCAGCCTTGCTTGGAAGGAAAGGAATTGCCAAACAAAATGAAACCTTCATCTGTGAAATGTCTGACCCTAAATCAGTCCCCAGCTTGTATTTATTGGCCCTTTCCGTGTGCTGAGCACCTGCTGAAGGCTGTGGGAGAGTCCGTGCCCACAATTTCAAAAGTAAAACCTTGTTGCATCACAGTACACATGGGAGGTTCTCTGCAAGCCTGCCCCTGTGTCCTGTCTGGGAGGTCGTCATGGTTTTTATTTTGCCCTGCCGCCATCTGCCTTGCCTGTTTCCATGTTGGGTTTGGGCAAAGATGAGGAAAACGCCACGTTGCTTCACTTCCTTCAAATAAAGAGTCCAGTAATGGCATGACTTGCATTAGGAAATCTTTAACTCCTTGGGAGGAGTTGTATGAATTAGAAGAAATAAGGGAAATAATAAAAATTCAGACTTGAGAGGAAAAGGGTAGTTCTCAGTAAGAGTCTGGGGTACAGAGTGAAGTTGTTCAGTTGCTGATAAAACACTTGGGGTTATCTAAGCTGGATTAAAGGAAGTCCTAAGAAGTCGTGACAGCTTTCTGTCTTTGAAATTAGAGATGTAAGTGATGAATTGCTTTTTAGTTTCCAAGCTAAGGTTTGTGGAGCGCATGCTGAGCCTTGGTGTGCAACTCTGACCTGTGAGCAGCCCCTGTGGGGTGGCATATTGTGGTGAGGGTGCTTCTGCCAGTGAGTCTTCATCCCTCAGCCTGCGCAGCTCTCTGCTCTCTGTGCATGTGCACAGCCTTTTCACACCTCTCTGCTTTTGCTTCAGGGTGGATTATGTGGACTCTTTGGGGCGATCCCGGCGCTGCATGAGAAAGGATTTGCCAGACCTGTTGGAGATGGACAAGAACCTTCAGGGGAGACTGTAAGTGCTGGATGTGTGGACCTTGCCTGGTCACAATTACCGCCAGCGGGCGGTTTTGTGCAAGAAGCTGTTTTAAGATGAGTTATCCTGGTTGTTCCTGTAAGATATTATTTTTAGTGGACAAGAATGTTTGTCCAAGCAGTTTTAGTGGTTAGCATACCCATACACATGTAATCCACACTCGGAACAGCCTGGGTGGCTGACTGTTCCTTTTTTGGTTTTGATTATTCTTTTTTGAGAAGGAGTCTTGCTGTGTTGCCCAGGTGGCCTTGAATTCGTGGGCTTAAGTAATCCTCCTGCCTCAGCCTTGCAGGTGGTAGGAACCACAGGCAGGATTGGCTCTGATGACCCAGGTTGCATAGCTGCTGGGACCAGTGTCTCGTTTCAGTCACGAGTAGAGACAGAGCCCACGTGAGCTCAGAAATCAACCCTTTGTGGACAGACACACTTTGAGATGCTGGCGCATCTTATCCCTGAGCTGGGGGGCCAGGGCAATAGCTAGCTTCTCACTTTTTCTTTACACATCTTGGAAGTCAGGGCTTGTGTTGAAAACTAATTTTTTGTGGGGCCTACAGCAGATCCACAGGATAACTTGCTAAAACATCCCAGGAGAGAGAAGCCCTTTTACACAGGGACAGCTTCTGCACCTCTCTGCATCCTACCAACACAGAAACCCTGGCCATCATCAGGACAAGGGGCTGCCTGTGAGAGCTGAACTCTTCTCCCACCTGGGCACCTCGGCCCAGGACTGGGTGCTGATTTCCAAGGTGGGGGTCCCATTGTGCCGGCAGGGATTCCAGGCTGGGTTTAAGAAGTGTTTTTTTCTTCTGGTAGTGGTGGTCAGAGGCCCCTGCAGGGACTGTGCTCCTTACTGCGGCACTCACCTGGTGGCATGTGTGTCCTTCCCCTCTCTGGCTAGTTTCGTGAGTCCTGCTAATGAGAAGACGCTGCTGTCAGAGGACATGAGGAAGGAGCTTCAGCGCCAGCAGTGGGAGGAGGAGGAACGGGAGGCCCTGCGGCGGCCTGTGGGGCCCGTGCACTATGAGGACATCCGGGAGAACGGTATGTTGTTTTTTCACAGCGCTGATTAAGGCCACACAAAGAGTAGTAGTCATACAGCACAGCACAGACAGATACAGAGGATTTTGCTCTGCTTGATTCCTGGGCCTAATAGTCTTCAATCGTTGAGACGATTTTCAGGCAGATGGCTGTGAATCTGCGAGCTCCTTCTCTGAGCAAAGCAATGGTGCCCGGGGTGGAAACTTGTGGCCTTCATGTCGGCAGCTGCTGCTGTTACTTATTCATGCCTTTTTTCCTTAAACTTTTACATGTGTGGAGCTTCTTGCTTTGGTAGGAAGTTTTCCCCGAGTGTCATTACTGATGAAGAAAATCTCATCTTCTGTACATTTTGACTCATTGCAGAGGCCCGGCAACTTGGTGTTGGATATTTCGCTTTTGCCCAAGACAAAGAGCTCAGAAACAAGCAAATGAAAACTCTGGAGATGCTACGGGAGCAGGTACACACGTGTTCTGGTCAGAGGTGGTGGGAAGGAGGCGCTGAGCAGGGCTGAGCAATTCTATGAGTTACGTTAGGAATTTAAATTGATTCTCAAAATGCTGTTGTATAGCTGGGTGTTGTGGCGCACATCTGTGATTACTTGGGAGGCTGAGGCGGGAAGATCACCATGAGCTGGAGGATACCCTGGGCTACACAAGGAGACCCTGGCTCAAAAAAATCAAAAAACAGAACAAAACAACATTGAATAAAAGTGATTGCCATACTGTTTTGGTATTTCAAAATATAAAATTAGAACTCTTTCAAAAGTAACCTGTGTCTAATATTTGGTTTCCACTTTCGGAGTAGCTGGGTGAAAATTATTTAAAGGATTAAAGTTATTTAAAGGATTAATGAAGATAATTAAATGGATTTCTTTTCTTTACTTCCTTTCTTTTTTTTCTTTCATTCGTTCATTTTTGGTGGTCCTAAGAGTTGAACCCACAGACTTCACACTGAACCACAACTCAGCTTCTTTTTATTTTTCCTTTTGAGATAGAATCTGGCTAAGTTGCTAAGTTTCCTAAGCTGGGCTCAAACTTGCATTTCTCCTATCTTTGCCTCCATAGTGCTAGGATTACAAGCATGTGTCATCATACCCATAGTGAATGGTTTTCTCCAATCTAAAGGGTTCCCCGGTGCTCTTTGATCTTTCACTAAACTTCATAAGACACCAGAAGTCATGTAAGAGTGCCTCATAGATCTTGATTTTCAGGATCTCAAGGATAGCCTCTTCCTGGTGCCATGAAAATAAACTAGTTTGTTTTCAGAAGAAAATCATTTCAACCTTTTGAACAAACATATTGTGAATGTGACTTCAAGCAAATCTTTTTTTTTTTTTTTTCTTTTTGGTACTGGGGATAGAACTCAGAACCTTGTGTTTGTGAGGTAGGCGGAACCACTGAGCTAAATCCCCGGCCTTCAAGCAAATAATTTTTAACTTTGTGTTCAGACAACAGATCAGAGAACAAAACGAGAAAACATAAAGGAGAAACGAAAGGCTATATTAGAAGCAAGACTTGCCAGACTTCGACAAAAAAAGATGAAAAAGTCAAAAGAAGATGGGACAGAAGAAGAAAGCAGAGGTAAATCACAGCTTAGATTTCTGCACTTGAAAGGCAAGGGAGGCTCTGAGACTCCCGCTGTGTGGCTGACACGCTTGGCAGTGTGGGCAGCGGCGCCTGGCTTTATCTTGGAGCAGGCAGCATGCAGCCAGGCGTTGCCAGGCACAGTTTGTAAGCAGAGTGAGGCAGACAGCTCTGCAGTATCATAGACGGCAGACAGGGTGTTAACAGCTTTCAGTTGCTTCTTAGAGGGGTACGGTTTAGTAATAGAGATTTAGAGAAAAGGTATCTTAAGATAAAGTTTAAGTGCATGTATATATGATTTTGCACTTAAGTATTTAAGTTTTTAGATTTAAACTTTGTAAGCATGTGGAACTGTAAGCATTGTGTGTGTGTGTGTATATGGGAACCATGTGATGTTTCTATTCATGCACACATTGTGCATTGCCTCATACTCTTACCGAGACTTCATGGCAAAAACGGTCAGAACCCTTTTTCGTATATCTCTGTAGACATTAAGGTTTTTGCCCATGGCTGTAGTTGTTTTGCTTGGCTGTGATATACTCATTTTTCTCTTTTATAGTTGGGTAGTACAGTGAAGCATTCAGGATGTGAGCATAGACTGCTGAGGCAGAAGCACTGCCGAGTGGATGAGTCAGAGCTTGGGGCCAAGTCCCCTTGGGAGCCCTGTGAGCACTGCGGTCTGAGAGCTCACGTGAAGTGGCTCGGGTCAGAGCTGAGCTTCCCTGACAAAGGGACACCCAAGGAGATGAGTGTCTGTTCTCTGTCACATGTCAGAGCCGGTGGCAGGTGTGCATCCAGGGCATTCCAATCCTGCCTGAGGCCACATGGTCCCCAGCTTCCTCTGAGCATCGCTGTCATCTTATGGTTTATGCCTGCCCGTGGCACCTGCCGCTGACCCTACCCAAGGGAAGGGACAGAGCCCATGTCCTTGTGGGAACATGAGTCCAAGGTTACCACAGTCCCCATTCCCCTATTGGCTGATCCCAGGCCCATGGTTGTGCCCAGCTGCTGGGGAAGCTGGGAAATGACCTCTTCAGTGAGGAAGCCATGCACCCCCCTGACCCAGCAGCTGGCATTCTGTTCCCAAGGATGAGGGGCTGGACGCGTAGGGAAGAGACTCATGGCCTCACTGTAGCCTATACTGAGGGTGGTACCTCCTCACCTCTGGGCTGAGCTGGCTTTAGCTTTGAAAAGTGTCAGGAAATATGAGGAAGTGGAAACTTGCTCCTAGTGTCGCATAAATGCCATCTCTGGGACGTGGGAGCCTTTCCTGGTATCTCTGCTTTCGCTGTCTCCTGTACATCTCATTCCCAGAAGATGGGAGCTGCCCCTATGGCATTTTTCAGAAAATCCATTTTCTTTAAAAATTGTAAAATGTAGCCCAAATGGGATATTCCACAGCAGGCTGTAGCTTGAGTCACTTGGCTCCTCCTGCTTTGTCTGTGATTGTCACTCACTGAGTGATTGGGCGCTGGGGTCCTGCTGTTGGTGGAGAAGGAGACGGGGTGGGCAGCATGGGGCATCCCGTCCCTGCCCACAGCACCTGCTGCCTGTGTCACTGGGATGAATTTTCTCGTCAGTGAAGTGGAAACACTGAATCCCTTTAACTTCTCAAGTCTCTGATGGCCTGCTGTATACACGATGCTGAGAGGACCCAGGGCTGTGGTGGCCACCACCAACACTGGTCATTATTACCTTTACTTTCAGGATTAGTGCATTCAGCAGTTTTATTCTAACAAGGCCTTCTTTTCTACACTCATAGATGAGGATGCTATTGGACCTTTGCCATCAGAACCAGAACCTGTGCCAAGCCCACCTCCTGCCCAGAGCAGCAGAGTAGAGGTCATCACCCAGGAGCGGAGGGACACCCGGCCCGGGGTGCCATACATCCGGGAGTGGGACCGGGGAAAAGGTGAGGACTGCAGCAGGGCTTCCACCCAGCGCCATCTGTGTGCTTACTTTGTGTGCTGCTGGGATCCCAGGGCCTTGTGCATGCTAGGCCAGCACCAGCACTGAGCCTCCCCAGCCTACCAGGAGCGATATTTGGGGACTGTTACATTAGCAGCCTCATGACAAGTGTAAAACATCAATTGTGGGGTTGGGGGATGAGTGGCCCTTGGAAGCCCCAGGAAACCTCAGATTGCTGACCCATGCACCAGACCCTGTGTGAGAACAAGAGGATTGGCAGAGTGACCCCTAGGAATGAGTCCTGCCTCTGTGTGCTCTAGGAGGAGATTTTAGACTGCTTCTCCCATATGGCATCACAGGTTTGGGAGCCATTTAGAGCTTTGTGGCTGGGGTGCTGAGGGCTGTGCGGAGCTGTTACTGTGGCTGAGAGAGAATGATTCCCCGCCAGTCACCAGCCTGGCTCCACCTGTGGGTGCGCATGCGCGCGCGCGCGCGCGC